GCTTCCAGACTTAATCTCATAGTGTCTATTTTTTTCTAATTTTTCTGGGGGACATGCCCCCAGACACCCACAGCATTAGAATGCTAATTATGCTTTGCACAATATGTGTTTGCTTTTAATTTCACAAATAGAACCCCCCTTTCAAACATTCTGCGTACAGGCCTGACGTTTATGTTTACCAGAAACTACTCTTTTAGTTATAAAATAACAAAGTCTACGAAATATCCCACTGCTTGTTTGCTACTAGTTTACAACAAATAAAGGCCAAAATAAATTATGAAAATCTAAAAAATACAAAAAATAAGATTCCATTTATTAAATAATACTATAACTTCAATATTACACATCATTTATATTTTACGACTTCCTCAAATTATCAATAAACACACTTTTTCGATTGAAACAAACATCTTTAAAAATTACAATTGAAGAAAACACGCCATCTTCTAGGCCAGAAAATATCGAACTAGCGAAAACAAAAACTTTAAAAATTGTGTCATCAAAATAACGAAGTACACAAAAATGGTTTTGATCTTTTTCTCAGCAGTTATGGTTAAATTCTCGGAAGATTCATATTTATTCTACATCATTATAATTTCGTGGCAGTAGGACTTCTCAGGGATAATCCAAATGCAAGTCCTGATATATTCGTGTTATGAACGATCCGCAAGTCAATAATAATATTCCATTTAAAGCATCTGATTAAATTCCTACTACAGTAATTGCCACGATATCAAAAATACAATATTGGTTATTATGTGTATTTTAAGCATGGTATTTCTATCAAATTGTCATTAAAATCAGAAGTACCTATGTTTTTGTGACAGAATCTTCGTGTGGCGATTTGGCAGGTGATTATGGACGTGTGGTTTGCATACTATTCATGTGGTGGCTTTGCATGTGAAGGTAGATGTGTGACTTACAGAATCTTTATGTGGTGGTTTTGCGTGTGTGGATGGACGTGTGGTTTGCATAGTATTCATGTGGTGGCTTTGCATGTGAGGGTAGATGTGTGACTTACAGAATCTTCATGTGGTGGTTTTGCGTGTGAGGATGGACGTGTGGTTTGCATAGTATTCATGTGGTGGCTTTGCATGTGAGGGTAGATGTGTGACTTACAGAATCTTCATGTGGTGGTTTTGCGTGTGAGGATAGACGTGTGGTTTGCATAGTATTCATGTGGTGGTTTTGCATGTGAGTATGGACATGTCGCTTACAGAATATTTATTTGGTGGTTTTGTATGTTAACATGAATGTGTGACTTACAGAATCTCCATGTGGTGGCTTTGCATGTGGGGTTGAACTTGTGATTTCAGAAATATCCTGTATATTGGCCAAGCTTGAATCCTTCAACGGCTAAATTAACCCTTTCCGAACAGGAGAGGTGTCACTATTGTAAAAGATACTTTGTTACTAGTATGTACCCAATATATTGTGATATAGTTATTGTTGGTTAAGATTATGTTACAAATTATCTGTTATACATGCGTTATTATTACTTGTTTTTGTTTTTTTTTTCGGTTTTCCATCAATAATTCAACAATGCTGTTTTCTAGGTACACAATTCTTTCGTTTTCTTTCTTCTTTTTTTTTTATAAAGCTTGTTGCGAGGGCCCCTTCCCTAGGAAACACTGGATGCGCCCCATTTGACTTTAACTGGGGTAATGTATCACAGAAGAGAGCTATGAATAATAAAGTTTGAGTAAATGAAGTCGAAACAGTAGTGAATATTATTTCCATTTCCTGAACTGAACTTCCCTTGGGCAAAAACTTTTTTTTTAATTAAGAGAAAACAAAGTAAAACTTCAATACCACATACTCTTATATTTGCTGACTGTTGATTAAAAAGCTGCAAATTGCCTGTGGGTGATATGTATTTGTGTCTACATATAATTAAAATAAAGATTTATTTGGTGTAACTTTTGAGTGTTATACACGGATCAGTCAGTTCTTGGTATACGAAGAACAAAGAAAATGATATATATATATACTAGGGGGTTCCTAAAATGGGGGCTACAGTAAATGCATAATACTGTTAAGGTATTCAGTACCTATAGATTCATAGGGTGTGGCTTCAACTAGGATGCGGAACGTTCTGGGGAGCCTTGTGCTGGAAAAGTTTGGAAACCCCAATACACACTTGTTGCCCAATTCATTCTTGAAAACTATTTGATATAGCTGGTACAGAATTTAAACATAAATCAAGTCATATTTCGAAGAACTTAAATAGTCCGAAAAACCTGTCTCGTCAAACTTTTATGTGGCAGATGTTTGTCCTAAACGTATTTAATGCAGTGTATTAAATTTTTTGATATAAGCAGAAGGCAAGGCTGCTCGTTGAAAAACATATGTGGGAGGGTTTGAGGTGGGTGGGAGGAGGAGGATGTGAAACTAAAATTATTTTCGGTTATGGATATGTTTTAATCGTTTTTATTTGGTTTTTCCATAAACATGCTTTACACGCCACTCGCTTATTGCTGTTACCCACAAGTTCCTGAACAAAATAGTTATATCAAAAAAAAAAAAAATTGATCGTCATAACTAAT